ACTAGAAGAGGTATACCACTCTGAAACCCCTCGCTACCAGTACGGGTTGTCTTTAGACACGGGTGGAAGCATAGCACGCCACCCGTGGTGTGGGATTTTGCTGGTCAAAATGATCCAAAATGGCAGAAGAAGAGCTACATATTTCACCTTGCGACATACGTTCATGTATTTAACGTTTGTTACGCACATTTTCCTGCATTGTGATGTCAAGTACTCGCCCAACAAAGAAGACTGAGGGGCCATGTACAGGGACTGGCAATTCCCGGGCTTGAATCAGCTTTCTTCCTCGCCATAGGCATGATAGTGCTCCTGACCCTTCATATGAAATGTTTTTCCCAGTCTAAAGTGAGCCTAATTGTCACAAGAAATGTGAAGAGTCGACAGTGGTTTTATGTTATCTTGAAAGTTCATCTGTGTTGGTAGGAGTCATTATGAAATAAGTTTGAACTGCAATATCCAACACAAGAAATTGAGGAGCGGTGGATTGCTCATTCCTTGATAAAGACTGGAGTTGTACAGTCGAATATTTGGGTGAGTCCAATTTCTTGTGTTGAATATTGTAGTTCAAACTTGTTTCATGGTGATTTTATGTTTGTAGTTTTCATAGTGACCTTTCACCATCTCAAACTCCTCACACAGGGAACGTATGTGTTGCTTCCAATGTGAACATCTTTCCCCTCCCACCTCAAAATTAAGACCCTGCAAATTCATTAATCAATTTACAGCATTTTTACCTCCTGTGCCATAATATAGTCCAATGAAAATAAGGTCTATTTAGGGCTGCTGTAAACACCTGTAATTTTTTGCAGTCCAGACAATTTTCATTTGAATATTCGGGATGGTTTACTTCAGGAAAGGGGGTAATAGATAACAAGGAAAATATATGCTGCATTTCCTTGTAAATACTGTCTTCCTATCTTCCTTTCCCTTAAAGTTGAATGCAAATCTATTTAACACATTAAAGACAAATCTATTAAAGATATACTGGGTCATAACTGCAGCCTGTTCGCTACAGCATTAAAAATTATTAAAATCAACCCTGGTTTTGGTACATTCCCAACAGAACTGCAGGTACAGGAACTACGCACAATTATGCATGGAAGGAAACCTGGGAATGCTTCCTGCCCTGCCAAGGTGACCTTGATCTTGACTGCGTTCCTCTGTATCACCCATCATGCCTGCTTCTGACCCACTTCTGACCCCCCTGTAAATTAGCCTGATAGAAGCCAGACGGCACAGGGTTGAAAACCTTCCACTGTGACAGGAACCGTCATCAAATCTTATTTCTCAATATCAGGAACATGAGGAGGAATATGCAGACCAAATTAACATCATGAAAACATGCATGCGACTGGTTATGAATATCAAATACTGAATCATGTATTGGATGCTCAACAGGTCTATGTGCCCTGGATACAACTGTGTTTTTTGCAAGTACCAATAACAGATTACAGTGCTGGAAAATAATTCTATGGCTTGCATAATGACATGTTACATGAACCTAGTCCTTTAATGATTAATCATACATTACAAAAAAACGCTGCTGAAATGATGATGCTGTCTACTCATGTCAAACTCAAGGACCCCAGTGGTAGTTTTATCTCAAATTGGATACTACTGTGCTGTACTTGCAAACACAAATGAATCACCTCATTCTAATAATTTTAATTGTGATTACTATAGATCTGGAACTTAAATATCACATCACATGTGCATCATTTCATGCACAATTTTTGTGCAGTTACACTAAATTCATAATTTTTATGCAGTTACACTAAATTCATCTACTTTCACAAGAACCTGCAATAAAGGACCAAGGGAGGTTTTGGTGGCATTTTTACAGTTGAAAAAATTATGTAGTATAGCAGTATACACATATATAGTATATACGCACTTACATTGGAAAAGAATATTTGCAGTGTCAGGAATCCACATTGGAATGGTCATTGCAAAAACCACGAAACAAAAACCACAGCGACCAATTCAAGAACGCTGAATTTGCAGCAAGATCACAGTACAATTTTCAATACTGCAACTAACAGAAACGGGTAGTTTTAGACATGATATTAGTGACAATGCTGAGTTAGCCTGTCTGAATCTTGACCCTAGCAGCTTTGCCCAGCCAACCTGTTTTACGACAGTGAGAGATTCATTATATAACACAGGCTAAATGCTGAGAAGTTATATAACATTGGAACGTATCACATTATATAACGTGCAACTAGTACATGGCAATCTTGAAAAATTGTCCCATGATCTAGCAAGAAGATACAAACTGAAATACTACTAATCTACTATCATTACATTATTGAAAAATATGCTGGTTAGATAAATGACTGTAATATAAACTAATAAAGAATAAAAGAACTATTCTTCACAAAATAAAATAGCTGATACTCATAATGTAAATTTGTAGTTCCCACAAGTCACCAGCTTTTTACGCTACCTATCACTAGTACACAAATGTATCAGATTGTCCCCAACACCTAGAGGACTACGTGCTACCCTGACCATAATTACAATCTCACTTGTCCTTGGGACAGCTCCACAAGATATTATCTATGGGAGCGAGACAGCAGATTGAGAATGAGATAGACTTCAAATTTGCAATAAGTTATTTCTAGAAAAATGGTAACATTTCCACTGTGCTCCACCTGTCCTTTGTGGGTGCTGTCTTGGTCAACTTACTTTTTTTGTGGAACTTGATCACCACTAATAACATCCATTAGGATTAATTTAGGAGAGTCTTTGGACAGGGTTCCACCTGCCAAGCTTGGCATTTCAATATGAAGACTACCACATGCTATGATGCTTTCCTCCCAGACCAAAGATCAAGTGAGTCACAATTCATGGATCACAAGGCATGTGTAAACTGGACAACAGTGCAGGGAACGCAAGATTTGGGATCCACTACATTGTACATTGTAGTAGCAATTTGTTAACATTGATGAATGTTCGAGTTGAAAGACGCCACCATATTCACGAAATGTTGACAGATGTTTGGCAATTCCATCAGAAGCAATTTAGGACTATCTGTACTACGAAACAGATTTCACACTTTCCCCTATCTCTGAAGTCAGGCCTGCATTTGCAGCATTTGTAAACATTTATGCTGGTAGTAATAATGCTTACATTTGAATCTGTCTCTTACATATGACAAGGATATACTTATAGTCTTTACAAAATTGGGTTCAAATCTATTCCTCCTGTCAGAACAACAACAAAAAACTCTGCTGCCGGACTTCTACTATATTCTGCTGAGAATTCAATATAAAAATGCTACCTGTTCTGTCTGAGTCCAGATGGAGAGTTTGCACAGCTTCTTATCTGATCAAATAAAATTTATTTATAACTACACAGGCTAAGACAAGCTGTTTGGCTCAAATGAACAACTGTAATTTAGTACTGGTTGAACCAGTCTCTGCCACGTGTACATGGGGTATAGCTGTGGGCGTGGTGGGTCACAGTGGCTTACTAGTAATTTGGGGGGTAGGGTGGCAGAGAACAGGACATAACGCATAATACGAAATATAAGCAACTGGACAAATTCTCTCATCTCTCTGAGAAGTCAGATGTTTCAAATACAATAGCATCTGCTATCTTTCTTCAGTGACTGAGAATGAGTCTAAATAAAAGTGTTACCTGTATATAAAAGAGTATCTGAATTGATTTGCAAGAGGAAAATCAAGTAAGCTCCTTGAGGGAGGAGGTATATGTGGTGTTTCAAATACAAGTTCACAGTTGCAATACAATGCATGACAGGCCATATGCTTGTGTTGCGGTTAGTTTGAGGCGAGAGGTCAATACCAACATAAAACCACTGCAAATATTTCTTAGTTTTAAACTTTATTATAGTATTATCCAGTAGTAAATAAAACTAATGCAGATGTGTCAATTGGAAAGCTGGAAAGATGACAGGTCATATACCATAATTAGCTCTCCATTATAATAAATTTGCCTATGTTCTGGACTTGAAATACAGATTGGTGCAGATAGACACTTTATAATGATCTTTCACTGCAAACTCATCATGTTGCTATTTCTAATGTCTACTTGCACCGTGCACCAGCAACCCATGTGCTTGACACATTATAACAAATGGGACATTGTTTTAGATGTGATATTGTTGGTGGTCAATAAAAATCAACAACAGAGATATCATGTGATCAGATGAAATTGAATTTCATTCTTTTGTGTTAGGGTTTACATACTGTGTAGCTTTAAATAATGCTTGGAGTTAGATGTGCAAAGGTTATAACGTTAGGTGTGACAAGTCATGCAAAGTCAATTGAAGACTAATCAAAGTAATAACCAACCATCACCAAGTACTTGCTAAGATGCACTGTGCCCAATGGCAACTTACATTGGCTGAACAAGACAGATTCAAACTTGGACTGAATTTCAACTTGTTGTAACTCCATTTGCGAATAATCCAACAAACAATTTATTTAGTGAGTTGAACATCTGGTGCAAATCAGTGCAAACCTCTATCTCAGGTCCTGCACATAAATTTAGAGTTCGACAGTTGATATTACGCACCTAACATGAGCTAATAACCTACCTGCGTTTGGCCTTTACTGTGATCTGGCTGAATCTGGTCTGATCAGTGACCACTACTCTCACTGCTCCACCCACGATATCTGCCCCCCTCCCCCTTGCACACACACACAAACAAGATCGGTTGATCGCTAGTGGAAATCACAAACACGCAGAGCCTAAGCTTTCTTCAACCAAGAGCCCGTTTTAGACTAGGCTAGATTTTACTGAAGTTGATAGCTCAGATGATCTTCTTGCTACAAAAGTAAGCGGAAACCGAAAGCGCGCTCATTTACTTCGCATAGTGGGCTGAGAAGGAAGATAAATTATGTATTTTGAAAGTCTGCTACTGCTATACCTTAACAAAAATCGCGATTACCAAATAGCTCTACCAATACACATACTCTAACAGGCTATGCAAAAATATTCTGAAGCGATCAAAGTGTATGAGAAGAGCGCTTTACCGTCCGAAATCTGTGCAGTTGTCCCACCCGGAAACAATGTGAACAAAATGGCTGATCCAGCGTGCCTCACCCCGTTCCCGACGGCCCGGTACCCAGCACACTGTTCGGTAAAGTTGACCTAGACAGTTTTCAAACCTACACAAGAGGAAAAAACGTCTTAAATTTTGCGGAGTGGAACACGGAAATATGTAATATCTGATGGAAGTGGTTATTTCAAATTTCAGACCAGCTAATGAGCAGTTTTATAGAGTAGTTGAGGGGAGTTTCTGCTATGTCCATCTATGAATAAGGTAAGGGGTCAACCAAACAGTGAGTATGGCGGCTAGCAGACGAGACAGGTTACATTTTCAGTTTCTTTTGCGTGGATTTATCTTTTGGTCAAGCTAATGAATAATCAACTCATCTCTTCAGTAATATTATTTTGACAATATACGGGTTCACTTATGGGAATCTTGCCAAACAGTAGTCTTGTAAAAGGAAGAGCTTAAAAAGCCGGTAGCCAAATGCTGGAACAGTCATACTTTTTATAATAGTACCAAGGTCTTTTACTTGCTCATCACCTCTTTGGTTGTACCTAGGAGGTTATGCCGATGATCTACATCTTTTATTTAAGAAGGAATGATAAGAACATTAAAGGATTTGAACATGTGATCCTAATGTAACACATCATAATCGTATGAAATTGTATATGTTGATGAATAATCCACAAAAAATTTTGGAGAAGAAAAAAAAAATTGGTCTCCGAGCAGTAACGTTTTTTTTCCTCAACCTTTTGAAACTGAAGAAAATGTAATGTTTTTTTTTCAGTGACTTAATGCCTGGCAAGTGATGATCAATGGCAGATCCCGCTAAAGCTTTCTGTGAGGGGGAGGCAGGATGGGAAGAGATGGAAGGTCCCACTAATTCTTTTGGCGCTGAAAGCTTTGCAGACTTCATCAAGGTTCGGCGCATACCCAACCAGAACATTGTCCACAGGCTGCGCCAGAGGGAGACCCACGTTGCTTACCCAGGCACAAACTGGCATATCGCTCGCTCTTTTCACCAAAACTTGTTCCCCAACTTCACCATCGTCAATGTCGAAAAGCCGCCATGTTTTTTGCGAAAGTTTTCGCCAGACGGGAAGCACTTTATTGCCTTCTCCTCTGACCAGACTTCGATTGAAATCTACAAATTTCGCGGATCGCATGCAGCAGAAAACATCCTGTTCAGTCGAGAGGGAGAGCTGCTGTCTGGAGCCGACGCCAGCAACAGTGCCTCTCAGATACGGGCGTGTCTGTTCGACACCTTCTTTGAACTTCTACATACCACGAGTGTAGCACCCAATGGAGAACATCTCAACAGAGAGTGCAGTCTCTTCACTGAGGACAGCAGATACGTTATTGTGGGATCAGCCATGTATGTTCCAGAGGAACCTTATCCCTACTTTTTTGACATGTACCAGAATAACGAATCCGTGGCCCCCAACCCTCGCTCTCCACTAGAAGACTATTCTCTCCACATTGTGGACATGCACACCGGCAGACTGTGTGACACCAAACAGTTCAAGTGCGACAAAATCTTTCTCTCACACAACCAAGGCCTCTACTTGTACAGGAACATCCTTGCCATCCTCTCCGTCCAACAACAGACCATACATATATTCCACATCGGGGAGGATGGCTACTTTGTTGGAGTTCGGAGTATCGGCAGGTTCTGCTATGAAGATGATGAGTTGATGTTGTCTCATGTTAGACAGGAGTTTAACCCCACCCAACAGCAAGTGAGACCCTTTAGGGAAACTGCCATCAACTGCCTGAAGCACAGACTGCTGGTGTACCTCTACAGTAGAGCCAAGCAGGACGGCTCTCCCTTCGCCCTGCGGCAGTTTTTCCAGTACTTTGACCAGTTCTGCATGTTGAGGATGTGGAAGATGCAGCTGCTTGATGAGAACCACCTGTTGATCAAGTATGCCAGCGAGGATGTGGTCACACTTCGGGTCCAGGACCCCAACTCCCAGCCTTCGTTCTTCGTAGTGTATGACATGATGTCGACAAATGTGGTAGCGGTGTTCGAGAACACGTCAGAGGAACTGCTGGAGTTGTTTGAAAATTTCTGTGACTTGTTCAGGAACGCATCTCTTCATTCACAGCCTGTTCACTTCACCTGTTCTGCATCGAGCAACATATACGCTCGACAGATACAGAGAAGGCAGGTCCAGATTTCTACTACAGTAAACACCTGATTTTTGCATGAACAGTAACACTAACAAGTAGATTTTTTGTCTAGCAGAAACAGATAGAAAGCCAAAATTACATATGAATTAGTGGGTTCAAGTAGTCCAAGAAAGAAGCAGCTACTTTATGCTAAATTTGGAGATTGTAATATGCCAATGAAAAGCTATGCTCGGCTACTGCAAGGGTATGGGCTGAATTATGTACATTAGTAGGTGGGGGAGTCAGCAAGTTCAAATGACAAAGTTATTATTTCTATCACATATTGCTGCGTCAATATGTGATTGACTTGGAAATATTTTACACCAATGTCAGGTTTATGCCATAATAGCTCATGCGAGTATGCCATTCAATTCATAATGTAGTGAATGGGAAATGGTTTGGGTTTTCAAAATTTAATGCAAATCCCAGGTTTGTGCCAAAAGAAGTGATGCAAAAAGTTGGTGTGTACTGTACAAATTAACATTTCTTGAGTATTTTTAGGGTATCAAAATTTTTAATTGTCATATTTGTGTGTAATTAGAATCTATACACATTGACAAAGTCACTCAGAATTTTGGCCAAATTTTGTATCGAGTGATGTTGCAGCATAGCATTATATCTAAGTAACATTGAGTAGCAATATTTGCAGTACTCTCTATGTTCAATTCAATGGGCTTGCTAATTGCCAGTCTGTTATGCAAATGTCCTTATCACAGGTCTAATCCTGTTGCACAGAATATGGTAAGATTTTAACGACCTTCCTGCCTCCTCCCCACAGATTTAAACACACCATCATCCATGCCAAATATGGTGGTCAGACGGAGGCGGTGAAGCGTCTGCTGGCCCAGCTGCCCATCAGTGCCCAGTCCTACAGCAGCAGTCCCTATCTGGACCTGTCACTCTTCAGCTATGACGACAAGTGGGTGTCCGTCATGGAGAGGCCAAAGGCTTGTGGGGACCATCCCATCAGGTGATTACGTCAACAGGGATGGAAATACTGGGTGCATATACTAGTACACTCTCCAAGCAGAGGTTTAGGCTACATCCTATTTCTGATGTGTTTATAGGTGTTTTTATTAGCTTTTGTTGTACTAGTCACCAGCAAATGGTGACTGCCTGGCAAATGGATACTGCCTGGCCAATTTCATACTGTGTTTGCAGCCACCAAAAGATTTGCTTGGAGATTAGTGAACCCAAACCCAAAGTTGGAGCTGTACACCTTTGGACAGTGGGTTTAGTGGTGAAAGTACTGGACATTTGTGTGGGGTTACGTAACTATGTATTTAGGTATAATGTACAATATTTTTTTGTACACTAGAAGTACATGCCATATTCTTGAGTAGTCTTTGTTCTCCTCATTTTGCTGACCTTCTACTTCATCTTAAGTTGTTCAACCAATTCATTTTCTGCACCCCTACATTGTCAGGTTAAGTGTATCTATTTTAAAAAATGAATTTTAAGCCCTGTGCTTACTAATGGGTAGGATGGGGAAAAGATCAAGTGGCTCTCAACTTCAAGACTTACTCTTGAGGGTTACAAATTTTATGCTTGACACATTACTGTCCATTCCCTTTGCTCTCCAAGTCTTTTGGGATTTTTTACCTTTTCCATAATTCTATGTTCTGTTAGTAGTGGCCCCAATTTCTTTCACCTCCCTCTCTCTGGAGGACAAAAGAAATCACAACCACTGCTAGGGAGACAGAGAAATTGACAAAATGATAGGAGAGGCCCCCCCAAAAAATAATAACGAAACCCCAAACCTTTGCTTCATGTTAGAGTATGAAACCTTGAGAACACAGACATGCTGTGAACACCCAGAAAAGGGGTGGCATCACCAAATTATGTACATGTGCGTGTAGGATAAATACTCTTAGTTTAATTGCTCTAATGTGGTTACCACCTCGCTTGCTAATGAGCATGTGATGACAAAATACATTCAGACTAATTAGACCAGGTGTGTATAGAAACACTAATGGTAACATCTACAGTCATAATTCCACTGGGTACTCTAACACTGCTACATTAAAAAAGCAATGTTATCAAGGCCTTGAGCATTCTGAAGTGTGTATACCTCAGGGATTGCTGGTGCTGCATTAGTATATCTCTTTAATTCAGTTATTTTAATGTGGTGGTCCAAGGGTATCCAGTGCAATATGAGAGTTCACATTATCACTACATTCATACCACTTTATAACACATAAAATACATGTAGCGATAACTGTTAAAGCTTCGTCATTTGGGGCAGATAGATGGAAAAGCAATTGTCAATAATAAAATGAGTATGATGCTTGGCTTTCCAAGTGGTAACTAACATAGTTTTCTGCTTTGAAATATAGAAAATATAGTCTATACATCTTGTCATGGCTGACTCAATGGTGTGATATGTATCTAGGTTGAAGAATTGTTGTTCAGTATTGATATTTCACCCATCCTTAGCACAGGATTTCCACCGTCCTTAAAGTTTATTTTCAAATCTTCATCTCCCAGGTTTTATGCGAGGGACTCTGGTCTACTGAAGTTCAAGATCCAGGCAGGCATGCCGGGGCGCCAGACACCTCCCACCGCTCGGCGCCTGGTTGCCTTCACGTTCCACCCGTACGAGCCGTTCGCCATCTCCGTGCAGAGAACAAACGCTGAATATGTAGTTAATTTCCATGTCAGACACTGCCCCTCAGACTAATATCTCTGTATGTAATGAATATTGTTGGTGCTACTGTAGCTTGTTTATCTTGTAGGTCTTAATGTAGGAAGATGTTCCACCAGTTGTGTAGTACACTTGCTATCCATATCTTTGTGTTGTGCCATGACTTTATATTTGTAACTTAAACATACCACATATTACATGCTGCACATTCCAAATATATGTTTACTTGCTGTATTGTAACTTGATAGTTTTTTATTCATGGAGTTTTATTCATGGAGTTTATGAGGTCTTTCTGTACAATATAAAGTCCAATACAGTTTATGTATTATGCACTCCATGGTGCAGTTTAGTGTAAACATATTTTCGCTTGTGAAAGTCAATCAAGTCCTACATGAAGCACAGCACTGTCTCTTTCTGTTCAAGTCTTGTTTTTCTGGCATAGTGGAGACCTCATTGTTAAAAGCTTTCAGCATGATAAATTGTCAACTGCATACTCTTAGTAGTATGCAATTTTCAGCCAAGAGTCTAGAGAATATAAATGTTACAAGCCAGTATAATAAAGTACTAGTACCTGTTTTTATTTAACGTGTGCAATACGTTTCAAGGACTGTTCATCACATCAAGAGCTCAGTACGATTAAAAAAATGGGAACCTAGAAGTCCCCTTATCTATCTTTCAAGTGGGCAATAAAGAAACTACATGAACTGCATGGCTTAGGGTCTTTTTTAAGACTAAAAGGAGGAATACTACAATCGTAAATGTGTTACATAAGTTTGTCCTTGGTACAATCTTCAAAGCAGGTTGTGAGATCTGCATCTTTTTTCTCCTGAGTGTTTGAAAAGTCTTCTGAGATAGAAATTGAAGGAGTAATCAGTCTGCAGGAGCCACGTATATGTGTGTACAGACTAATGTTTTGTGATGACTTGTGGTTGTTCATTTTCACTACGTGACAATTTTGTATGACAGCCTTTACGCAGGTCCTTGACTAGTACTTTGTTTCCCGAAGACGTGATGTTATATGTACATGCTTGGAAAGGCCTGATGTAAGTTGGCCCCCTTACAGGCTAAAATGAATGAAGAATAAGATATCTTTTTTCAACGACAGAGCACAGCAGAAGCCGTCGTTCACTGAAAATTCAGTATAACCAACTCACTGTTACAACAACTGTTGGTAAAATGGAAAACAAATATAGCTAATGTGTGAGTTTATTGATGACTTCCATTTGACTTTTTTAAGGACTTTTGGCCAACATTTTTTGTACTGATATGATAGGGCCAGGGAACGTTATGGAAAATGACAATTAGAAGAGGAAAATCAAAGGGAAACACAAAACCTTGAACAACAATCAACATGAAATAACTTCATCTCACACTCTAGATATTAGTCTAGCCCTGGATAAGGACATTTTATAACAGAATTAAGGCCATAGATTCTCGATTCAAAATTAATTCCAAAATAAATCAAAAATAATTTGTTGTTATGGCATAAAACTACTTGAGGCAATCATATACCTTACCAGATAAAGGATTAGCAGATAAAAGAATTGGTTCCATTTCCTCCAAATGTTACAAACATGCACAGGAAAACAAGCAACTGGTCACAGAAAAGTAATGGATACTGCTTGAAAGAAACATTTGATAGTTTTCAAAATCTCCCAGTTGCTTGAGTAACTGTTTTCTTGTGTATCTTATTACCTGGATGTCTAACCTTCATTGATACATTACAACATGTTATACAAGTTCTGGTGAAACTAAGCTACATGTCGTACAGTATCATGCTGAGTCCTCCTCCTCCCATTTCTGTAGGGCTCCCTCCAAAGCTTGTATATCTACTCTGTGCTTCATGAGAAACTGGCTGTTGAAGTGGAAGACTGGAATGTCGTATCGGTACTGCCTGAACCACTGCTTGTTGTCTGGTTTTGTGATATCCACCTCTTCCAAATGAAACTATCAAAAGAGACGTATAGATGTGAAATGCATCTTATCAATAAAATGCAAGGAAAGGTTGTTATATACAGTCCTACCCAATGAAAGGTCATGAAAATGGTGTGTTCTGTGAAATAATTGTAGCCTGGGTGCTATCCTATTTGTATGCCGGGCTTCCTTACTCGCAACCGAGTTTGGGAGTATGGGAACCCTGGCATACAAATAGGATGGCACCCAGGCTAAAATAACTGGTCAAGATCCCAGCTCTTCCATCAATGAAGAATTTGATGTACATGACTGTACATTCCATGATAACATCGCCTCCTGTCTTTTTAGGTGTAAACTGCAGCACCTTTAGGGCTGATAAAATTTCAATTATCATTCGCGGTCAATTATATGTATGGGTAATGTTAAACTTCAGCATTAATATAAGACGTAATGCAATTATTCAAATTCACATAAAAATGACATTTGCTCATAATATAAAACCCACAAAGCTTTTATTTCCATGCAAAACTGAACTTACCCTGTGTTTGTATGGCATTAAAACTTCCTTAGCTTCATCACACAGTGGACACACCTCCTGGAGAAAAAAGAGAAAGCAGTTTTGCCACATAAAACTTTATTAAAAGTATAGTTAGCTAGTGCCTTACATTTTGGTAAATCTGCAAGATGCAAGGTTTTTGAAGGTAAAACACAATGAACTGAATCAAATACAGGCTCTCGTTCTTCCCTCGCACCATCAAGGAGTGGAATGAACTTGAGCCTAGTGTGGCGGAGGCGAAGTCCATCTCCCAGTTCAAAGCTGAGCTGGGACGGGCTTCGCTGCATTGAGCTGCCTCCCTGTCCGTGTACATATGTAAATATGTGTAACACTAGCACCACATTTCACTTGTCCTGTCCTTGCACTTGTCCATGTCCACCCCTACCCTACCCTTTGTTTGCACTTTGCACACAGTATTAATGCGCAGCTGCTAGTAATCTTCTCTTTAGAAGGCTAAGCTGTATCAAAGATGATGATGATGAAGATGAAATATAAGATGCCACAGTCTGGAAATTGACCATCAAAGGCTTATTACTTGTACTGAGGTATCAAAGATTTAACTCACTTTAAAGGCCTTTCAATCCTTGACAATGTTACAAACTTTTAGCCCTTTGTGGTGAAATGCACATTTTCATTACCGTACTTTGGTATACAGGGTCAGGACAGGTAAAGTCTTCCTTGTTGAATACAGCCTGGACATCAGACAGCTGTAACGTTGGACTGACCACAGAGCACCCTGCATCACTCGTTTCTGGACAGTCATGTCTGGGAGGAAGAAGAAATGGACTTTCAGAGCATGTTTTTATAATCTAGCAACATAACACGGTGGTGTCAATAAAATTAACCCAGAGGTTTAAAACAAATGATACAATGAACAGCCAGTCAGTAGTAGAAAAACAATTTTTATAATAACATACAATCAACCCACAGAGACAAGTGGCGTGCTGCCATCAAGTATTATGCAAGCACGTCTAATCCTCGGAAGACGGGGAACAACAGACGATAAAACCGGACAGTGAGTGAGTGATTATTGAATTTGAAAGGCTCTGCCAAACCAAAAATCCTTAAAAGGTGTCATCTCAACATTTTCCAAATACATGTTAACAACAGCCAAATTTCAAACATGATAAATCATTGTAGCTATTGCATGACATTCTAGTACCTAAGTGATGTTCCACTGTTGCTAGTTGATAATCTGAGAAGAATATAGTCCTTGATATAAACAAACACTACATCACATGTATGTACGGCCTCTAGCACAGACAGCTGATTTCTGACCTTCAACCTTTCACCCGAGGTCATTGCCGACAAAATGTCGGCCGATCGGGTCGGTTCCAATTTCGGTACAGACAACAAGCGTCTGTTGTGCCGTTTGTTACGTAGATGAGGGCTGCTCCTCGCGGACGCAACACGACGAAGATCAGTCAGGTAAGGCTGAACATTTCTGCCGACTTTAGGTCGAACCGCTCAGCAGCAGCGTGGGTAAATATGTGGCATGCGCCGGCGGGATAGCGTCTGTTGACAAAAACTGTCGCATCATCTAAAGTTAGACGGGGGTGAAGGATAAAATCATAAGGTCAGAATCTGCTCAATAACGCTGAGAAAAGGAACTTAACGAATTTCTCAATGTACAGATGTCGTTAGGAAGATGATTCGTAACCGAGTATTTGAACCCAATTGCGCGCTGACCCAGACGTTAAAAAATGAAAGTAAGAGTTCTTGATTTTTTGTTGGGTGGGGGTGGGGGGCGTCTGTGGTCTTCAGCTCCAAGAGGTGGGGCATCTACTTTTGTTGTCCATCCTTGTTTGTTTTGCGAACTTGTTACGTCTTCGAAAACCTTGGTTTTGAAGAATATAAGAAAATTGTATCTAATTAAAATTATGCTTATCATGGTACTGACTTGCTACTAGATATACAACCAGCTGATAACAACGTTTAACTATGAAGGTCAAGACACCAGATTAGAAGATTAGACAATAAAGGTATAGAAATCAACAGTACAGTCACTGTTGAAGTTTTCCTGTGCTCTGAATCCCCTAGAATAACCCTTGGTACCATTTGTGAGTTTAGTATTAATTTGTGTATAGATAACACTAGAATGTAGGAAATGTAGCAGAGATATCTAATGCTATCAGACAAATTATTTGGTTTGATACAAGTGATCACCATGACGTCATGGCCATTTGGATGATGTGTCTACCAATAATTGATGTAAACAAAAGCAGTGATCACTCACATTCCTTTCCTACATGATTAGCCTTGTAATGATGTAGTAGACGTTAAAATAGCAAATCCCTGTTTTTCATGATGGATAAAGATGATAATGCTCAATCTACAGTAATCCAGTTTTGAACCTAATATCCATGTTATCCATGTTTAAGAATTCAAACGGTACCAAAGGAAAAGCTGCAATGATTACTATTTATCAATATGTATCAATAAGAAGAATCTCAAACTGAACATGGTTTCTTTTATGTCAACAGGAACAACAAGTAAATCAAGAAGTGCGTGTAATAATCTGAACATGAATGGCAGTGAACCCTCCCGTAAAGCTGAAGTGGATGGAGCACCTGAACACCTCCTGGGTGTCGGAGGACTGCGAGAGCATCGCCACACGTGAGGGGGTCATCATGCTGTACGACCGTCTGGTCGCCAACAAGGAGGTCATCCCCATTGCCCAGCAGGCCTTGCACCTCAAGGGGCCGCAGCTTCCTGACTTTGAGCGGGAAGTTCTCTGTCAGGAAGAGCAGGAGCATTTTTTGAGAGCTCTCCTGAACAGCCAGCTCACACTCGCCCGCAGCGTGTGCTCAGACTCCCCATTTTCGTCCTCCCTCCGCAAGAGGCTCGTCGTGCTGCAACGAATATTCTACGCCGTATCGAACAAGTACCACGACAAGGAGAAGGTGAGACAGCAGCAGCAGACACAGGAGACGCAGGCGGGCGTCAACAGCGAGAAGTCGAGCGGGGAGAAGACACGGACGGGAAACGACGCCTTGATCGAGATGGGCGTCCGCACGGGTCTCAGCCTTCTATTTGCCCTTTTGCGGCAAAGTTGGCTCCAGTCTCCACCGGGCGGCAATCTTTCTCTCTGCAATGACGTCATACAGACCGCAATGGACGTGGTGAGCTCCCTGCCACCCCTGTCTCTAGCTAATGAAACTAAGATGCCTCCAATGGGACTGGACTGTCTCAAACAAGTGACAGAGTTCCTGAAGAGTGTGACCATGCCAACCTCCGGTGCTGACAGTTTGGGGAAGAGACTCGCTGCCGAGTTGCTTCTCGGCCTGGCCTCTCAGAGAGGTTCCCTGCGGTACCTGCTAGACTGGATAGAGATGGCCCTGGCAGCGTCAGCAGCACTGGGATCACAGGTGGAGAGGGAAGAGGACAGGCTGGGGCAGATTTCACATGAGTTTTTTCAACAGATTTTGCAAGTGATGGAAAATTCTGTGGTAAGTTTCAACAGATTTTGCAAGTGATAGAAAATTCTGTGGTGCTAGTAAATTGTATGTTCTACAACATAGAGCCATTGTATTTCCTCCATATATTATTCATTGTGAAGTCATCAAACTGTAAGTCATTATGATACTATCCGAGAGCTAAAAAGATTTAAATGGGCATTTTTGTTTCTCGGGGAGTGATAAAATCCACAAAATGCATGGTTTCATATTGGTACAATATTCCATAATTTTCATATTTTAACAGAGTACATGTATGTGATCTTACCAATTGGTTTGTATCTCTAACAAAAGTGATTGGTCCTTTGTAGAGAAGACATGAGGAAGAATGTGGGCATTCTATAGAGAGGATGTACCTGACCAGGATGACCTCATTACAACCAAAGGGCATTTCACAAGTACATACATGTTCATGGAGTCTGGGGTTTTCCTAAGGTCCCCTTTCAACTACCATGTAGATGGTCAATCCATTGAGCGACCCGAAATTGGATATGTGTGATTCTTGGTTTTACGATTGGAGGATGATATGATAATGTATGATTTAAAAGACAAGACACAGGAAACATAAGAAAAAGATTTGTTCTTTATCTATGTATGAAGTTTGTTGAAATGTTTCGTCGCTCAGTGGTCACTCAGCTGCTAGTACTAGTAGTAGAAAGGGAGTGTAAGGATTGATGTTGTTTCATGGTGGTGCATGATGCTTAGTCAAATGAACTTGGTCACTTTTGACCTTGTACCCCCTCCCACCTTTAGTAGTGGTTAGTGCTGTGTTACCGGTATCTCTCTCTTTGTGGTGAACACAGGTACTATGTTTTTAGTCTTGGCTGCCAGGTCCAGTACGTAGGTGGGTTGAACTGTTAAATACTTGTGTCAGGAGTAATCCATAATACACACTCTCCCCAGGGTGGTTCTGGAAATGACAAGAGAGATCACCAAATCACCGACATGAACAAGACAGGAGATGGGATGTTTCCTCTGTACCTGGCTGGGATGGTGCTGATGGAGGAGGTGAGATACCCTGAGGCTGGTGCTCTAGAAAATACATTGTCTTCAATGCTTCTTTATAAGAAGAATTTACATACTCCTCACTAACGCATTACCCTAGCACAAAACTAGACTAATTTATTTTTGGCTACAGTTGGTTGTAAAACCTCCCTGTTTGTTTTCTTGTGTGTCTGTAGTTATTTGAGTACAGCAAGTTGACAGGACGTGTGTGTGTGTGTGGGGGGGGAGTCAAATATGAGGGGGAGTCAAGAAGTGAGAGTCAAATATGCACGTCATCAGTGAGAAAAATTTACAATGATAAATTAACAAATTCACATCAACTATCAGTAGTTTGCGGATGTGTGAAATCTTTGATTTCTCCTTGCTTCTGCAGGTGGCTTGGCTGGCATCAGACTACGCCCGGTCCTGTGTCTGTCCCTCTCCGGTACCCATCGACGACTCCAGTACGGGCGAAAATGGCAACATGGTGACTGAAAACAGCGAGGTTTATGTTTGGGGCAGCAACAGCAGCCACCAACTGGCCGAGGGCAGCCAGGAGAAGATCCTGCAACCTAAACTGTCTCCTGCATTTGCTAATGCTCAGACAGTAAGCTCCATTTTGAATGTATGTATAACATTCAGACAAACAGACATTTCTTCCTCGAGTTTGTTGGTTTCAGTGACTTGTGTTATGTTTGTGTATCTCAGCTTTTATTATATTTATGTGTGTTCAACTTTTCCTTGTGTTTTTGTATGTTCTCAGGGCAGGAAAACACCAGGTAACACTGTGTTTATTCTTGGAATGTTACCGGTATTTTTTTTCAGTCAACACGATATCCTTGCCATCAGAGAGAAACTGTTGTGACTTTGCAATTACTTAATCTTCATGCTAATTATAGCCTTTTGTTTTTCAGCCCTTTCTAGGACTAGGTGTTCAACATGTAACAAATGTCATAAGTGATACTAAGATCCTCTTAGACTACTAATTGTAACAATCTGTAAGACTATGGGACATATTTTGAGAAATTATTTGAAGACAATCCACTAGCTCTAGATCCCTTTTTGAGTTTTTGTTCAGAATCCTGTTGTTTTATTCATTGGGTTTTCTATGTTAGCATATTTTCTACCAACTTGCTTGGCTATAGCCTGTGGCATATGGAACTTTTCAAGTGTTAAAACACTCATAACACATTTTAAAATGTCATTCTAGAAGCAAGGTAAGCTGATCCACTGCATGCAACCCTACTGCTGACTACCAGTAACACCCCTGCTCCTGTTTTGTTTGACAGATCGAGGCGGGACAGTACTGTACATTTGTAGTGTATAATGACGGGACTGTACGGGCGTGCGGGAAAGGCAGCTACGGGCGACTGGGCCTGGGCGACTCCAACAACCAGACCACCCTGAAGAAATTGAACTTTGACCACCGCTATGTAATCCGGAAGATCTCGTCCTCGAAGGGTTCGGACGGTCACACGCTGGCACTGACTGCTGATGGCGAGGTGTTCAGCTGGGGGGATGGGGACTACGGGAAGCTGGGCCACGGGAACAGCTCCACACAGAAGTACCCAAAACAGATCCAGGGAGCTCTGCAGGGCAAGGTGAGAGTACTGGCACAAGGCAGTAGAAAATCATCTGAGGACTGTGTGATACACCATAATGGTGAGGTACATTTGAAATACATGACAGATTGACAGTTATCAAACAACTCTGTGTCTGGTAGAACTGTTAAAACAAGAGTTAAATGGCCAGTCACAGATTTTGTTTGCAATACATATGAATCATGTCAAAACTTCCAATGAAAACCATACTGGGGACTGATAAAATCTGGTCTATGTGGACAGGTGGTCACAATCAACAGGATTCTCAGTGTTTATGTCAATGGGAAAAATTACCTAAGGAACAACTAAAAAGTGGTCACATTGGACAGATGGTCCTGAAGTAGAGTAGAGGTAGTGACTTGTACAGGTTTGACTCTACTTGCTCAGATACAGTGATGACTGTCTTTCCCCTGAATCTCCAGGTTGTGAAGAGCATCTCAGCAGGCTATCGCCACAGCGCGGCGGTGACAGAAGACGGTGAACTGTTCACGTGGGGCGAGGGCGACTACGGGAGGCTGGGACACGGAGACAGTAACAGTAAGAACCTGCCCACCCTGGTGAAGGACATCACCAACGCTGGACAGGTGGTCTGTGGCAGTTCTCACACCATCGTTGTCTCACAGGATGGCAGGACCGTCTGGTCGTTTGGAGGAGGGGACAACGGTAGGGCTTTGGGATGAATGTATACATAGATTTAGACGAATGGACTGTTTTTTCTTAACATTTGGGTTCAACTTGGTAGTTTCAGGGAATTCCATGTGTGTAGTCCAGTATATATTAGTGACTCTGGACCATGAGGTTGGGAGTTCAAGTCCTAGTTGTTGTTGAAGCAATCATTAGGACGGGTCATTAAGCCATGGTCCTTGTTCATTGTGCCTGAGCTGGGGACATTTCCCGTTTTTTTTACAATGAACAGAAGTAAGGTCCAAGAAGCTTGCCGGTGGCCAGCAGGAAAATGTCAGGGAGTCTGCCGGTCAGGTGCCAGTGGGTAAATGCATAGAGATGTGAATGGAGAAATTCACAATAATGAATTAAACAAGAAATTTACAAAAAACTGCTTCCTTGAGGTATGAAATCCTTGATTGCTTGTTTTATGTTATTTGTGGCCTCACAGGAAAACTCGGCCATGGAGACACTAACAGAGTATACAAGCCTAAGGTGATAGAGGCTCTAGTTGGGCTGTACATCAGGAAAGTGTGCTGTGGCAGCCAGTCATCCCTCGCACTCACATCAACTGGACAGGTGGGTTCTCATCCGATTCTTTTATAGAGTCTGCATTTCTGAATAACTTCATCAGGTTGGTGAATGATTGAATATCAACGTTTCGGCATTTCAATGACCTTCTGCCATCTTCATAGGACAATTATGACTAGTTCACTGTGCACTGAAGCAAGTTGTTACTTCTGACTATGCTGTACCAGATGTAAAGGAATTGTGACATACATGTACATGCATGGAGTCTGTATTGTCTTGCCAGTGACACAGAATTATTCAATGAACACAGACTTTGTGCAAAGTACACGTTATACACCCTTCTGATGTTAGGGAACATCAAACCTTATAAATCTTGCTTCCAGTCCTGATTTCCTGCCACCAGGTAATCAGGTTAAATGATGTCCGTTACATCATTATCACAGTTTTCTGATAGCAGCCACGATCAGTGACTGAAAATGACAGTTACATTCTTTCAGTTACTGATGAAAGATAGTAGATGCTTTCAGAAATGGCTGATTTATTGATTTAGTTGCATAGTTTAATTTACTCCGTAATGTTCTACCTGGATGTCTAACCTTCATCCTCACATCCTCCAGTTGTTTGCGTGGGGGTGTGGAGCCTGCCTGGGCTGTGGGTCACCTGAGTCCACCGCCCTCCGACCCAAACTGGTGGAAGAACTGGCCAACACCAGGATAGTCGATGTGGCCTGTGGGGACAGCCACTGCCTGGCCCTCACTCATGGTGAGAACATTACAAGCTTCAACCTTACACACACTGAAGCAAATGTCTTGGCTACCAGTACCAATTCTCAATTGGTTATGGGGTTATGCAGAAGGACCCCACAAAATTATTTCTTGACAGAGGACATTTTATAAAATCTGTAGATCGTGTATTATTAGAGCTATCATAAGAAATCACTACACATGCATGCCGAATAGGTACATGTTGACAATCCATATGTTGAGATGCTTACAGCCTTCCAGTTGTTTATGAAGAGCTTCTCTTCTTTTTTGTCAGACAATGAAGTTTATGCATGGGGCAATAATGCCATGGGCCAGTGTGGACAGGGCCACTCCCAAAGCCCCATCACTAAACCCAAGAAAGTTGTTGGTCTGGACGGAGTGACTGTGCACCAGATTTCTGCAGGCACCTCCCACAGCCTGGCATGGACAGCCCTACCGACAGACAGGTAAGTCTATGATTTCTGCAGGCACCTCCCACAGCCTAGCATGGACAGCCCTGCGGACATCTACAGTTACATCTGAATGTTCATTGTTGTCTAGAAGGAAGCAGCCATTTACAATGTCTCTTTCTCATGTAGCATGCTTTCTTACGTAGCATGCTTAGCCCAGTGGTTAGGTACTGACCCCCTCTAGACAAAGAGGTTGTGAGTTTGAACCTTAGCTGTGTAGCTCACCTGACATGCATGATACTGGAAAGCATCGCAATCCTTAGAATGGGATGTTAAGCTGTGGTCCACTGTTTATTGTATTCGCCCCCCCCCCCCTACCAAAGAAAAAGAAAGAAAAAAGCTAAGGGTATTTCCCTTTTACAACGAACCTGTATATGCTGTACATAGTGTCTGCCTTCTCTGTCACAACCAGCAGAACAGTAGCTCAGCTGTTTATTAAGATCACCATTCCTTTCACTTTTTAACTTACCAATTGTTTCCTGTCCCCAGGCAGGTGGTGGCGTGGCATCGGCCGTTCTGTGTGGACCTACAGGAGAGCACGTTCACCCACCTGCGCATGTTCCTGGAGCGCTACTGTGACGGCTTTGACAGCCCAAACCCACCCCCGCCCTTCCCAACATCCAAGTAAGGAAACAGGAGGAAGAATGCCACTGACATTTTAAATAGAATGATTAAGATTCTAGTAGCTTTTCTACTTTGTCAGGCCCTTAGAAGCTTGGTGGCCAACACCTCTAAGTCAGGAGAATTGGAAATTGATATTGCATTATGTGCTAAAATGGCCCACTTATTGTCAGACTGGGAACTGGGTTACTGCGGTGTTGCAGGCTGTGATGACGTGTTTCAACAGAAACAAATAATCCTAGTTTTTGTCATGGAAATGTGGAATGAATTTTTATCATTTGTTAATTCAACTTTACCATTGACAAGTTTGGCTAGCTTTGCCATCGATAACATGTACATTGGAGGAGGAGACAAGATATCTAATATACATGTAGCCGGCCTTTACAGGTTGTATCTCCACCTTTTGTGCCAAACTTCACACCCTGTATTTTTCCTGCTGTATTACAGAGAGCACCACCACTTTGTGCTGCTGTGCCTGAAGCTGCTGTGTACCCACCTACAGCTGGCACTGGCCGGCGGTGTGGCCACCACCATCCTGGGCAGCCAGGCACGGCCGCTCAGACATCTCCTCTTCAGACTCATGGACTCTTCCACTCCTAACTCCATCCAGGAGGTATCTTGTTTTTTTTTTTTTAGCTTTTATTCATTTCATAAAATACTCAAATTGGCCTGCTAGCCATTTTTCATTTGAGGTCAGGGTCAGCAGATTCATTGTGACTATTAGTAAGTAACATTCAGAATCACCCGTACCTGCACCATCAACAAGTGTTTTAATGTGGTCCTGGACAAATTTATATTGAGATTTGCAATGGCAAATGCTTAGTCACATGGGTACATTTTGTGCCACTGTCTCTGTTTGATAGATTCAAATGTACATACACATTTGTACATGTAGTCCAAGAATGGTGCAGTACTCATAATGTAGGCTAGGTGGCAGTGTTGAACAGTTCTGTTGTGGGTTGTTTCCAGGCTGTAAGTGAGACCCTGTCTGTGGGGGCTCCTCTGCTCCTGCCGCCCCTGCGGGAGAGAATGGAGCTTCTCCACCAGCTTCTGCCTCAGGGTCCTGCCAGATGGGAGTCTCTCTCCAAGGGACAGGTCAGTCAAACTAAAGCAAAGTTTGCTTTCATAGGAAGACAATGTTACATTTTTGACAACCCCAAATATTTGTGTGTATGATGCAGTTAGTAGTAAATCCATATTTTTTAAATAAAGATAGAGGCTGTAGAAAACAAAGATTTCTTGTACTGAATATGAAAGAATCATCTTACATTATTCCATCATTTCTATTTACATTGTTCCTTATCCTTAAAACTTATTGTTTTGGATTGAAAATAACTGACATCCTTTATAAACTTTTAATGTGTTGTCAACTTGTCAACATCTAAAGCATTATAAATCATCCTCCTCTTTATCAGTCCATAACAGCTGCTCTTGTTTAATTAACGTTAATGAGTTATCCATCCATCTTCTATAGAGGATGCAGCTAGGCATCATCCTGACCAGTCTGCAGGACAACACCCATGTGGCCTCGCTCCTGGGTTTCTCCGCCCCCCTGGACATGGACACCCCCTCCCCCCGGGGAGTCTCCCCCGCCGCCCCCGACACTCACCTGGCCGAGATGCTGATGAAGACACTCCTGAGAAACCTCGGCTTCCACACGGTAAGTCAGTCACAGCTACATCTGTATCAGATTCTATGTACGTGTATATATGGCTTGTATAACTGCCCATTGCAATAAGTTACGTGTGTGAAATATAAGCACACTTTTGTCAAAAGACTTCTTAGTGTGCATAGTCCAGTATTAAGTGACCCTGCCTCTGGACAAAGAGGTTGGGATTTCGAATCCTGGTTGTTGCTCACCCAACATGCACATTACTGTAAGGTCGCAGTCCTTAGGATGGGATGTTAAGCCGTGGTTCACTGTTCATTGCACTTGTCAGGGGATTTCCAGGTTAAATGAACCTGTATCTATTATATAAAGCATCTGTCTTCTCTGTCAAGACCACTGGGAAATGTGCTCTTCAGTGAGATAAAACTGGGTTCTTCAGGAACTTACAGAATGTAGTCTTACCCGGTGCTCTGAAATTTTTTTCTGGAAAATTTCTGAATGTGCTTGTGCTACCTGGTATTGACTACAATATTGCTTCTTGGTAGAAATCACCTGTTATTCTACCCTGGTCACTCAGTCTGCAAATGTCCTGTCTAGATGATTGGGTTGGATTCTTGAGTGACCTGTTTGTTGTTATTGCTTAGAACAACCATCTCTCAGGGATTAGCTAGGTGGCTGCTCTAGTGGTTGATCGTCAGTTTAGACTGCTGTAAATAAAGACATGCCGCAACAACAAACTCCATGTACACTTGTCAGTCTTTCCTTGTCAGATGGAGTTTCAGGGGGGTCACTAGGTTACCCTTGGTATGTGTGGCAGATGGTTTATTACATGTGTCAAAGTTGCACCACAGTCAGTCCTAGTCTATGCTTTAGGCTGGAGCCTGGTGATAGCTGGAGAAATACTGTAAATTCATCTATTTTAGTAATAGGGGAAAATGATGTTTTTGTTGTGTTTTGAGTTACAGTTAATACTAACCCTGTGGTACAGTAGTGATACTTTGGAAACACAGTCACATAGTGCCATGGATCTGCGGTGGATAGGTCAGTGTGCAAAAATAAGACCACTGCAAAAGTTTCAAGATTTAAAGAACAGCTTGTCCTTGAAGACTTTAAAAAAAGTTGTAGTCTATATCCTGCAGGCTGAACCCTTGTGATGACAGGGGAGATAGTCCTGCCCTTGTCTGACCTCACCAGACCTCAGGTGTCAAACTGCCCAAACTCAATTCTCCCTGCTCATGTGGAGGATTAGTGTGTTGGTTTAAGATCAAGGGAAAGGTCAGCATGTTTCCCCAGAGGTCGGCTCATTGGGGTTAGTCTGTGGAAAGTAGGATAAATGATGTATGAGAGGAGCACTGCTGCTGTGATGATTCTCCAGAAGTTTGGAGACTGCAGTAATCTCCAAGCAGATGTTAGGGTAGGCTAGAAATTGTTTGCTGGTTGCCAGTTTCTGTGTCAAACGGTCAGGCAGGAGGTTTGACACAGAAGAAATCATGTTTTGAACACGTTGAATAGCACCTGACATAACATTAGGCTCTTGCACAAAGTGAAAATCATGCAGTTCTAAAACAAGGCCCTGGGAGTGACTCAGGCAAGCAGTTTAACACAGAAATGGTTAGCTTTAGCTTCCCCCAACATCTGCTTGGAGATTAACCTCCTTTCTGCTACCTTACCCATATCCAATAGAGAATCGGTATTACGTAGCCAAGTGACTACCTCAGTATGCTGAAGGTTAAGACTGAAGTACAAGATAGAGGATTTACTACCTTGTTACAGATAAGGCTGTAGGGTGTGAGATTGGCCAGTGACCAAACATAATCAGTACTTCTCTTGATGACCTCTGCTGTGATTAATAAAAAGGTGGGTACAGATCAACCCATAGCAGGGAGAGACCCTGATTTTGGTGCCAAAACTGGAAATATTGTGCCAAAACTGGAAATATTTTGTAGAACATAAGAAAATAGACAGTCTGTGAATATGATAAACATATCATATTGATGATAATTTTGCCTAATGTTTCAATTTGTAACATCTTCTTCAACATATTTATGTCATTCCATCCCATTTCAAGTGTCTGCCTCCACTGTTGATATGGTTGGAGTGATTCATGATTATTGAGATCAACTTCCATTTTCCATTCCATGTCTCCTAGTCAGACTGTAACGGAGTATGGGAAAGTAGTTTCAGGTGGGACAATTGATGGACGTTATGGGAACTACAGACCCCTGACATTTGGAATGGAATTGCAGATAGTGAGATTTACTGTAACTGCTTTCCTTTATGACTCAGGTAGTGTACTCTGCCATATATATGGATGGCAGGGGTCTCCAGAATCATAATACAGGTGTCTTTGAATATGTGACAGGAATGTGTCAGGACTGCATATCTACCTTAGTTGCTTTACACCTGGGCTACAGAAGTAGTACAATATATTTTTTATTACTCACATTCAGGGAAGATCTCTGGATTCTAATATAAAGCTTTACCATTGTTTGATAGTCATTCTTCCAGAAATAGATATACCCTACATCTAAAAAATTATTGTATATAATGTTGCCACTGTGAAAATATACACTCTCCAAATGCTAATATCCCATTACTATACTTTCTAAGGCCTACTGCCCATCCTTGGGCAGTAACGTCCATTGCCATGCCATAAACATTTATCTTTTGTCACTATTTAGATTCTAATATTCATTCAGACAGGATCAGAGTCATGTGGATGATGATTGCTTTGTGCCATACCATTCCCATTATCCAATATGGAAAAACATCAGTCATTCTTTATTCCATTGGAAAATCAAAAGGTCATGGCCAAGGTCTTCCAATTTAAAAATGACGAATAACAGGTTATAAATACAATAAAAATATCAGGCCATTTTTCTTGAAGATGTTGCAGATTTCTTATTACTGGAAGGCTTTACCGTCATTCTTTGAGTCAGTAACATTTAGGAGTAATGACAGTAGGATAACAACTAATGTAGGTTGGTAATCAGATAATAAACTAGAGTTCCCCGATCTCATACCTTCGCCAAATGATGTTAATCTTTATGACTGACAAAGTTTAGATTAGATTATTCCCCCCTGATTTAAGAAATAGGAACCTAATTTTCATGAATTATATCATATTATCATAATCTCAACCAAAAACAGTCTTATATTAACAAAGAATGCATTCTAGCATTTCCTAATAAATTATGCAAATGAGGTACTGATTTGAATAAATTATGTTTAATGATGTTCACCTCAATTTAACTTTCAAATACCACAAGTATGAAATTCCAGGCAGTTATCATGACATAATTATAAAATTTTCTCATTAATTATGCAAATTAAGTCATTATTAACATAATCAACATCTTTCTGTGTTTCTCTCGTTGTCAATTACCAATGTCACAAGCTTCAATTGTCCTATCATGGAATGCAGCTGATTTATAGAATTTCCCCATAAATTATGCAAATTACATCCATATTTGCATAATTGTCACATAATTATATTAAGCATCACGTAAGCTACCAACATACTAAAAATCACGACGATCCGTCAACCGGTTCTTGAGTTATCCCCTTTTGAATATTTTCAAGAATTCATCCCTGCAGTTCCAGAGCAAGCCGCTAGGGGGCCTAAACTCACGTCACTTCTTTCCCACCACAAGAGCTACCTACCATCTAAATTTCATCACCATGGCATGTCTAGATCATGAGATATCAAAACCGGAAGTTCAGCTGCAGTACCATAACAAGCCGCTAGGGGGTCCAAAATCTAATCATTTTGAGGTCTCATCAAGACCTACCCACTTACCAAGTATCAAGACAATCCATCAAGGCCTTCTCAAGTTATCGTGTTTACAGACAGACAGACAGACAGACAGACACACACACACACACACACACATACACGAACGCCCCTGAAAACATAACCTTCTTGGCGAAGGTAACAATGCAGGTCAGGACATGTCACCTTGAGCCTTGGGTAATAGATGTCTAGCTGCTGTTTAGTGTTCTCAGTCAAGTGCTGATGAATGGTTTGGAGCTTACTTGTAGTCTATGTGTGATGTTGGTCACCAGTATTTCACAAGACGTGGCTTAGATATTAGTTATGGACTGATTATTCAGTAAGTGGTACCAGTATTCATCTTGATGAATAATGCAGTGGGTACCTGAGTATTGACAGATAGACAACCAAGTGCTGCCACAATATTGACTTCACAGGGATAGTTAAGAAGCATTCTTCAGATCTTAGAATCCATCCTTTAATGCGGACTGGTATTTGACAGAATAGAATGCAGATGTGCTTGACTTTTACTTCAGTTTTGACAGGGGCTTTCACTGCTCAGTAATATGCTAGCTAGAAGTGGAACCAAGATTTTGTGTGTGGTACTCAGTTTTTTGGATGAAGAGTCCATACAATTTTTTTATACCCGGTAATGTATCATCTGCAGAAATATGACAGAATGCAACTTGGTTTGGAGGATTATTCCTAAAATTAGGAAAGTGGCAAAAATTCTTTTTGTTAATCTGATCTTTATATTTTGCCTCTTATCCAACATTGCATTTGCCCCCTAACAAGTAACATAATATTTGACCCTTCCACATACATCTGCCCTTGATTGAAGTCAATTATGCGGTATTGTATCACAAAATCTATAGAGTCACAGAGGCTCTAGCAGCTATTTTTACCTCCCAAAACCAGTCTGTCCACTTCTCAAGTGACGTGAGCACTAAGATATTCTGGACCTGCCTATAATGCAGCAACATTGTGAAGCATCCATGCCACGTTTGCTTTTGCCGGACAGTGATTGTATCATGATTAGATTGTAAGGTAGTGATATGCTTTTTCTCTCCCAGAGGTGCATCTTTCAAGGTCATTTGTAGAAGATGACTGTTGCATCTCTTTGTAACAATTCTGTTATTGATATCTGTAATTAAAATACTGTCAGGTATAAAGAGAAGCAGGGAATTACAAAAGGACAATAACAGGTTTTGCCAATGGCCTTGGATAGGATGATGTTTTTGCACACAACATGACAAAAACCATTCAAAGTTCAAACAAT